GACCAGGGGAGACAGGAGAGCAGTCTGCCAATATTTGAGGGGCTGCCACAGAGAGGAGGAAGGGGTCAAACTATTCTCCAAAGCACCCGAAGGCCAGACAAGGAACAATGGATGGAAACTGAACAAGGAGAGAGATTCAACCTGGAAATAAGGAGAAACTTTCTGACAGGGAGAACAATCAACCAGTGGAACAGAAGTTGACCTTGGAAGTTGTGGGGGCGCCATCACTTGAGACTTTCAAGAAGAGATTGGACTGCCATTTGTCAGAAACTGTGTAGGGTCTCCTGCTTGGGCAGAGGGTTGGACTAGATGACCTACAAGGTCCACTCCCACTCTGATGATCTGTTATCTGCTTTGGAGAATAGCTTGACTCCCTCTTCTTTGTGGCAGCCCTTCAAATAATGGAAGGCTGCTATCATATCACCTCTGGTCCTCCTTTTCATCAAACTAGACAAATCCAATTCCTGCAACTATTCTTTGTATGTTTCAGCCTCCAATCCCCTAATCCTCTTTGTTGCTCTTCTCTGTTGCTCTTTTGAGACTCTTTTGATAGTTTCTCCCTTTTGAGAGTTCTCATAAGAGAAAACAAATTTTCCTCCCCTTTCTGATCTGAATACACGTCATTCTCCACTTATAACCACAACTGAGCCCAACTGCTAAGCAAGACAGTCGTTAAGTGGGTTTTGCCCCATTTGATGAATCTGCCGCTTTAATCCCAGCGTCGAAAACTTTCTTTCTAATTTTACCTCTATGGCTCAGTGAGCTGCCTGAAACTTGAAAGGGCAAAAAACGGTAGCGCTGCTAATTGGTCAAACATCCCCCGCTTTTCTATTGGCCAATGGAGAGATGAGCGCTCCTGATTGGCTGGAACGCGAGGTTTTTTAAAGTAAAGGCGGAAAGTGGAATTTCTGCCTTTCATTTCCCGATTAATTGAACGCATGTGGATCTTTTATGCCTCTATTCAGGGACCAATAAAATTTTTATTTTGGAGCAGGGGTCTCCAAACCCTGGCAGTTTTAATGCTTGTGGACTTCAACTCGCAGAATTCCTCAGCCAGCCACGTGGCTGAGGAATTCTGGGAGATGAAGTCTACAAGTCTTAAAATTGTCTAGTTTGGAGACTCCTGGGTTAGATGATTAGATGGCTGCTATAACGGCTTAAGTATCCACCAATATTCAGACGACACTGTTTAAAAGAACAAGTCATCTAACCATTCATTTTAAATCAGGTTGTGGATAAACCAGGTTTTAAAGGCTCCTATGAAGGGAGATTTTATTTTCCAGGGCTCCAACATCACCCCAGATGGGGACTGCAGCCAAGAAATTAAAAAGACGCTTGCTCCTGGGGGAGGAAAGCTATGGCAAATCTAGACAACATACTAAAAAGCAGAGTCATCGCCCTGCCAACAAAAATGCATAGAGTCAAGGCTATGTTTTTTCCCAGTTGCAATGTATGGCTATGAAAGCTGGACCGTAAGGAAGGCTGAGCGCCAAAGAACGGAGGCCTTTGAACTCTGGTGCCGGAGAAGGCTCCTGCGAGTCCCTTGGATTGCAAGGGTGATCCAACCGGTCAGTCCTGGAGGAGATCAACCCTGACTGCTCTTTAGTTTGTGTTTATTTTCACGGTCATGATGTGCACTGAAGATGGCGTTTGATTTCGTTGTACGAGGTGCAAGGACGATCAACTAAACTAAAACTACAACTAGAAGGCCAGTTACTGATGATGAAACTCAAAATACTTTGGCCACCTCATGAGAAGGAAGGACTTCACTGGAGAAGAGCCTCACGCTGGGAACGATCCGGGGCAAAAGAAGGAGAAGGAGACGGCAGAGAAGGAGGGCGGGGGCTGGATGGAATCCCTGAAGCAGTTGGCGTCAGCTTAAATGGACTCCGGAAGATGGTAGAAGACAGCAAGGCCTGGAGGAACGTTGTCCATGGGGTTGCGTTGAGTCAGACATGACTTTGCAACTCATAACAACATATGAAGAGAGTTAGGGTAAGAGTGGATTCTAGGGAGAATCCAAAGGTGCTTCCCCCCGCTCCCCCCCCAAGAGGCAACTGGACTTCCTGGTTTCTCTTTGAAGACATTTCTCTTCCCATCCAAGAAGCTTCTTCAGCTCTCTAGGGAGAAGTTAAGCCCCACCAAAGGAGCTTAGTCTCAGGGCGTCCTCCCGCTTCCTGAATGTTTACAATTTTTTTTAATTAATGTGGCTGAGCACCCACGGAGGAGACAGGTGGCGTCCGGAGTTGACAGGCTGTCGTTTATGGCCTTGATTTGTTGAAAGTCACATAAAAAATGAGAAAGATAAGTCATCAATGAAGTCGCTGCCCTTTCCTATCAGTCAAAATCGGCTTCTTTAAGTTGACTGCCACACAGTAGAAGCCATGTAGGTGATTTATGGCCTCTACTGCATGTTTCCAACCCACATGGTCTTGTGCTTTCCTTTGCCAGTTGGGCCCACCATACATCCTGATGTCATCTGAGTGATGCCATGGCCTAGAGGTGGCGCTCTCGCCTCACAATCAGGAGGCTGTGAGTTCGATCCTAGGTAGAGGCAGACATTTCTCTCTCTCTCTGGGCACACTGAGAATAATAGATCTGCTGAACAAAACTCCTCATTGGTGACAGGAAGGGCATCTGGCCAGTAAACACCCAGCTCCATTCAGTTGCTCAGACTCTGCCCTGAAAGGGATTATGGGGATGGTAAAAGACACACAAAATTTTAACCCCTAACTTGCTGATGTCGTCCCTCCCTCTTGTCTCTTTCATGGACACTTTTTATCGTGGGATTCATTCTATGACTGCCTTAGCAGAATAACGGAGTTGGAAGGGATGTTTAGGTCATCTAGTCTAACCCCCGCCCCCCCCGCCCAAGCAGGAGACCCTACACACCATTTCTGACAGAGGGCAGTCCAGTCTCTTCTTGAAAACCTCCAGTGATGAAGCTCCCACAACTTCTGAATGCAAGTTCTGTTCCATGGTTGGATTGTTCTCACTGTCAGAAAGTTTCTCCTTATTTCCAGGTTGAATCTCTTCTGGATCAGTTTCCATCTATTATTCCTTATCTGGCCTTCGGGTGCTTTAGTCCAGGGGTCCCCAACCACCGGTCCCCGGACTGGGACCTGTCCGTGGAACAATTTCTACCGGGCCGCAGGTTTGCTGGGTGCCGCCATCTTGTTTTGATGAAAAAGTGCTTCCGGTGAGCTTTTCTGGGTAGAAAGCGGCGTTTGGGTGCTGAAAGAATCATCCCGCCTTAGTTTCATCAAGGGGGGGGCAGCTTCGAACAAAACTTAGGCGCGAGGATTCTTTCAGCACCCAAGGCAAGGCAAGCCGAGCGACCGTCCCGAAGCTGTCCCGAAGCAAAGCCCATCGACACAGGTACAAAGGAGGAGTTGAAGGTGGTGGGGAGAAGCGGGGGACGGCTGGCTGGCCGGTCTCTCGGCTCACCTTGCCATGCGTGCTGATGCCGGTACTGGGCCACGGATGATTTTGTGATGCCGGTACCGGGCCGCGGCACAAAAAAGATTGGGGGCCATTGCTTTAGTCCACCTGCCATCAGTTCTTTTTGCTATGTGACCAGCCTATTTACATTTCAACTCTTTCACTCTCTCTCTCTCTCCAGACTTGTAAGTGTGTAGGAAGTTAGCACCCACCCCACTCCTAGAAAAATGAAATATCCTAGGAAATATTTAAAAAGGCAGAATATTTCCCCTAAAAAGAGTAGAAACTCAGAAGCAGAACCTCACTCCACACCTTTGTCAATGGGTGGGCCATTAAGGCCTAGACCAGGATATTTTACATAACAAAGATCTCCAGGTAGAGCTGTAGTAGGAATTGCCCAAAGTCCTTTCATCACGTCATCATCCAGCAAGGCTCAACCAAGCCTGGCATTCAGGACAGCCTAGACTGCATGGCCCCACGGGAGTCTGACAACCAATCAGAATACAAGCTCAAATTCAAATCCCAACAGAGGGTATATAAGGGACGCTCAGCATCTCCGCCCTCTCTTCTTTTCCTTCACTCAACATCTTGAAGCGTGTGATCATCCCTTCCTTCTTTGGAGCTCCAAGCCATGTGATCCCGTCCACCATTAAACCATCTTTCCAAACAAGCCTCCATGTTTCCAGAGTCTTTCTCCCCCACTTGGAACCGAACCCAGAAGGATAATTCTTCCAACAAGTGAACCCGGCTTCCCCCTTGACCTTGTCAGAAGGTCGTAAAAGGGGGATCCCATGCCACTGTCACACATACACCAAGTCCAACTTTTGATCACGTTACCGGGGGGGGGGGGGGGGGGCTGCACGGGTCATAAGTGTGAAAAATGGTCAAAAGTCAGTTTTTTCAATGCTGTTGTGACTTTGAATAGTCCCTAAGCCAATGGTTGTAAGTCAGAGGTGTCCAACCTTGGCAATTTTAAGACTTGCGGACTTCAACTCCCAGAATTCCTCAGCCAGCAAAGAACAGGGGTGTCCAACCTTGGCAACTTTAAGACTTGTGCAAAGCTGGCTGAGGAATTCTGGGAGTTGAAGTCCACAAGTCTTAAAGTTGCCAAGGTTGGACACCCCTTGTTGTAAGTGAAGAACTACCTGTATAATAAGGTAAATCCCAACTGGGCACTCCTCTAAAGATTGAACTACAACTCCCATCATCCACGCTCAAAGAACGGGCAGGCTTAGCCTTCTCCTTGGAAACTGTATTGAAACACGTGGCCGGGCGGACTTTGCAAGTATAATACGGCACCACGTGGGTGAAGAGGGCTAGGGGGCGCTGTGGCGCCTTGCCTTGATGCTCCCTCCGCCCCGCGCGAAGAGACGGAAATAATATATGCATACTCGAGCGCTCTAGCGCTCATTTATCAATGGTGTGGAAAGCGTGGAACCGGATCCTCTTTTTGTCCCCCCACCAACCCCTCCTCCCGCTCTGGGTTTTTTTTTTAAAAAAAATGGAATCCTTCCGCCGAGGGAAATAAGAGCGTGTCCGCGCAGGCGCAGTGAGGGACGGAAACGGGCGATCGGCCCGGGTGACATCCCGACGGGCGCGGAGAGGCACCGGGGCTGAGCTCGGAGCTCGGCGGGAGCCGAGGGGCGTCGTTGGTCTCCCTCCTTCCCTTTTTATCCCCTGCCCGTTGGTCCGCCTGCTCTGGGACTACTTTTGTGTGTCCCTCCGCTCCGCTCTGCTGCTCTTCTCCTCCTGTTCTCTCTCTTTCTCCTTCCTTCTCTTCGGCTGCTCCTCCCGGAGAAAAGAAAAGCAAAGAAGAAGGAAAAGGGACGACTTTCCCCCCCCACCCCACCCCCTCACCCTGCCCCAGACATCATTTTCAAGCCTTTTAACACGGCTCTTCCGCCGCCGGGGCATCTCTGCTGCTTCCTTTTAGCCTCGTTGAGGACTAGTCTCTTGAGCAGTTTCAAGCCTTTGGTGCAGCTCGGGGACTTTTTGAGGCGGGGGTGCAAGGGGGCTGCTTTTCCCAGCCTCTGAAAACATCCCTGGCAAGCGGACAGTCTCTTTTCTGTCTTTGGCAGAGCCTCCTTCGAGGTTTCTCCCATGATTTGGAGGCTGTTTTTTTGGCTTTCAAATTGAGGGTTGGGGGTTTTTTTGGGGGGTGGGAGGCTGTTTTGCTCTTGTCAGCCTCCAGCAGGGAGAATTTGGGTCCCTGACTCATTGGGGAAGGGGCTGCTCTGGTCAGTGGGCTGCTCTAATCCAGACCCCGGCTTCTTTTTTTGGGGGGGGGGGGGGGGAGAGCCCACCCTATAATCTCCCCAAGGCTTGGAGCATCTTTTCTGGGTGGCCAGGATCTCCCTGCCTTCCCACCTTCCTCCTTTACCTGGCTGCTGACCCCTTCATGCCAGAACTGGGACCCTCCTGCCCGACTTTTCGTACCCCACCTCTGATCTCAAAGCAGCCCACCGTCGTCGCCTTGCTCGCCCCCAAAGTGGGACCCTGATCCAATTCGGCAGCTTCCTCGACGGGACATCCATCCTCATCCTCATCATGTCTGTGGCAGGGTTGAAGAAGCAATTCTACAAAGCCAGCCAGGTGAGCAAATAGAAATTGCCAGATGTCCTGGCTCAGATGTCCAGATGTGGTGGCTCTTTCCTCTTTTTTTAAAAAAAAATAAATCTCAAAACTCGACTCCTTTCCTCCTTCTGCTCGTTGGACGGTTATGATTTTTTATTTTTATTTTTTACTTTTTCCAAACCGTGGTTTGTTGGGATATGGGGGGGAAAAAAATCTGCTCTCGGGATGGGCCGCCAGGATCCAAAGCTCTGATTTATTTATTTTGCAAAAAAGAAGGTAATAGTTTGGCGTGCAAGCAGGACAAGGAAGAACAATTTGGGCAGCTGTGGGAGGGTTTTGTGTGTGTGTGTGTGTGTGTGTGTGTGTGTGTGTGTGTGCAGTGGTCTTTTGTGTAGTGGCCCTCGGTCCCAGGAAGGATAGGGTAAAAGTTATACTTGGTGAAATGTGTCTTCAAACCCCCCCCCCCCCCCAAAAAAAAAATTCCTGAGCTGCCTTCGTGCAGCTTTCAAACAGGTTCGTAAATACACCTGTTTCATCCCGGAGAATGCTGGCGATTTGTGAGACAAATAGTAACCTGGCCTTGAAAATTCAAATTTTTCCATGGTGTTGTGTAAAGATTGCCAAGGAGCAGTTTTGGCAGAGAAAAAGCGAGACACGGTTTCTTTCGCGAAGCAGCTGAATTATCATTTGGGAACATTTCTATGCACTTGGAACAAGGAAATGAATTTTTTAAACATTACTTTTATGAAATGTTGTGCCAGGCGTAGTGAACGCTAAACGGCTCTTTTGAGACAGGTTTTCGAAGGATTGGGGCGGTATTAGGAGCATGCCAAAGTTTTATTGTGATGAATTTATTTGTTTATATCCCATAACTTTATAATAATAATTTTATTATTTTGACAAATAACTCGAGATGGCAAATGTCCCTAATTTAGCTGGGACTGAAGAGTCCCAACACTCTTTCTTCCTGTTATTTTCACCACAACTGCAAGCCTTCGGGGTGGGGTGAGATGGACTGAGAGAGGGATTGGCTCAAAGTCAATCCAGCTGGTTTTCATGCCTAACGTTGCACTAGAACTTGCTGTCTCCTGGTTATTGAACCAAAGTCACCCGTCGTCTTACCTAAGGCAGGACTAGAATTCACTATCTTTTAATGATTGGCCCAAAGTCACCCAACTGGTTTTCATGCCTAAGGCGGGACTAGAACTCCCAGTCTCCTGGTAATCGACCGAAAGTCATCCATCCGGCTTTCGTGCTAAGGCGGGACTAGAACTCACTCTCTCCTTTTGTCTGGCCCAAAGTCACCCAGCCCGTTTTCATGCCTAAGGCGGGGCTGCAACTCCCAGTCTCCTGGTAATTGGCCAAAGTCACTGAGCCAGCTGAGGCAGGACTAGAACTCAGTTTCCTGATGTTTAGCCCAGAGTCACCCAACTGACTTTGACGCCTAAGACAGGACTAGAATTCACCATCTCCTGGTGATTGGCACAATCACCCAGCCAGCTTTGGTGCTTACAGCAGGACTAGAACTCCCTGTCTCCTGGTGTTTGGCCCCAAATCACCCAGCTAGCTGTCACACCTAAGGCGGGACTACAACTCCCAGTCTCCTGGTGATTGAGCCAAAGTCACCCAGTTGGCTTTGGTGCCTAAGGCAGGACTAGAACTCACCCTTTCCTGTTGACTGGCCCAAAGTCACCTAGCCCGTTTGTCATGCCTAAGGCAGGACTACAACTCCCAGTCTCCTGGTGATTGACC